CCCCAGGATTATCGAAAATTTCAGAGTAAATGTCTGGTGAGTTCACACATTAGCAATTATACTATTTCTTTTGTGGGATCCAGTGACATCAGGGCAAAGTAAAGGCAATAATGCTGATTCTGAGACACTGTAACTCATACCAGATACAAGACAAGCTTCAATCACATCTGAGAATAGTGGGGTGAGAGCAGGCAGTCTGAGTAGTTACTTCAGACCCTCCTTTTGCTCCACATCATATGGTAGGGGATGTTCCAAGACTATTTGCTCTTCTATAGGAAAAAGGGTGGCCTATACTTATCCCACTATTAAATGAAGGATAGACATTCCCTGTACAAATAACACTGCTTTCCTTGCTTTGCTTATGTGACCCTTGCTGACTCTTCCTATTTGTGGCCATGTGTGGCAGGTAGAATCATGGGTAAACACAAAAGAAGTCACATTCTAGAAATATAATGATTGATATATAAAGCATTCAAGGAATTACATAGTAAATGTCATGTTCTACATGTGTACCATAAAATTTCGAATTTTAGCCATTTGTTAAGGCTACAGTAACAAATGAGCAGTATATGAAAAAATTATTAGTTATTTAGAAGTGATTAAATACAAAAAAGTGAATAAGCTAACAAAAGATTAATATGTATACGGTGAAATATTATGCAGCTGTGAGAATAGCTTAAAATGATGCTTTAAATACTTAAATGTAATTTTAATAAAAGGATGGGAATCACAAAAGAAATAAAATATGAACTCAATATAAATAAGATATACGGAGAAAAAGGACTAAAATTAGGCGATCCTAAGTGTTAACATATATGGCTTGTGGAATTATGAATGAAATTTATATTCTTTTAAATTCTGTATTTTTATGTTTGAGAAGAGACCTTGGTTTGTTCTATATTCTAACACTTGTTAGCTGTTTAGCCTTGAACAATCTACGTACTCACACTCTTAGGGAACTTAGCTTCTTTATTGATTACTGAGTACTGAAGTGTTATCAGTTGGTGTACTAACCTGCAATATGAAAGGGAAGTCTTTTGGGGTGAGAATATAATTAAATGAAATCTAAAAGAGGTCATAAGGTTTGATCCTTGACCCAATTTGTACAGAGACAGAAGAACTTGTTTTCTGTTTCTCCCTTCACCATGTAAGAGCATAAGTGGAAGGCAGCAATTTAAGTGGCATAAAAAGGCCATCGGTGGAATCCAGGGACGGGCAGATTGACCAAAGACTTTCAGCCTTCAGATGTGTTGATATATTGTTTATGATGTAATAAAACCACTGGGGATCAAAACGCAAAGCTAGCCACAGACGTAGATCCAGGAAGTGGTGATATACAACTTTAATACCAGCAGCCATACTAGCTAGCCATAGAGGCCAGGTGGTGGTGGTACACACCTTTAATCCCAGGGCTCAGGAGACAGAAGTAGATTGATCTCTGTGAGTTCAAGACCACCATGGGCTACATGAAAGTGAATCAGCCAAAAAGAATAACAGCTCACACCTTTAATCCCAGCACTAGGGAGGTATAAAAGGAAGAAGCAAAGGGTCTCATGTGAGATTTAGTTTCCAGTCATGGAAAAAAATGCCTCTGAGGATTCGTGGAGACAGGATCACCCATTTCAGTCTGAGGTAGAGGTAAGGGCTAGTGGCTGGGTGTGTTTTGCTTCAGTTTGAACCCCAGTATCTATCTCTAGGTTTTTATTAGTCCTGTTACCTTCAGAACCCTGAGTAATACATTTCTGTTGTTTAAGTCAGTCTGTGATATTTTGCTATGGCAACTTGAATAGACTAATGTATTTGTAAAAGTAAAAGTATAAATATTAACCTTATAAGATTGTTATCTGATTAAATGAAATGACATTTATAAACTGCCTATGATAAATTTTGGCATATATATTTATAGGTAAAATGTGTGTTATGGAAAGGTATCAAAGTGAAAAATATGAAAAATAAATATGAGAGAGTAATGTGTCAATCATACAGCAAAGAGATGCTACAGAAAGAAAAATTGACAGGCAATATTCAGTTAGTTACTGGTTATTAATGTGCATTGCTAAAGGCAGCTGAAAAGTCTCTCATTCTAAACTGAATTCTAATAGTGATAGAGGATATAAAGTAAAATCTTGGATTTATAATTAATGAAGTTACAGATTTATAATGGCAAAAGCAAACATAAACAAGCAAATAAAATGATAAAATAATTGTAAAGATGTAGAAAGAATAGGCCAAATGCTTCATTTAAAATGGAACTTGTATATTCAACTCTCCATCTGCAGAATTTGAATTAAAATTCCTGCACAATATTCATAAATCTTGAATTCATAAAATTCAAGATTTTAGTAGGTGGGTAAAACAGATTAGGAGGGAACTTGAAACTTAAATGAAGATAAATTTGGTCCTGACTTTCATGTTTTGGTTTGGTTTTTCTCTACCATTTCCCAGTTTAGAATAAAGTAGCTTAAAACCTGAATATGTTGTCACCTGTGTACAAACTAGATGGTCAACATCATAGGACACCTTATATAGCTTTAATGATTTACAGTCATTGATCTGAACCTTAAAGGACTATTCTTGTTTTATTCTGGAGTGTTGGAGACAGAAGCCATGGTCATGGGTAAGCTAGGCAATCCTCTCTCAGAGCTACTGTTAAAGGTAGCTAAATAGCTCTGGTCTTTTTACCTGGAATTTGTTTTTACTTAATTTTATAAACTAAATCAGTTTATTTATATATAGGTGGATTTCAGTGTTTAAGTTTAAATATAGCATTGCTTTCTTTTTGTTTTCCTATTTTTATGGTTTATTTCTCCCTATGGCTAAATAATCGGCTTTTAAGTTTGTGATAATAATGCATTTTCTAAATATGCATATAAAACATTAAAGAAATCATTGTTCCATTTTATTGAGGCCTCAAAGAGTAAGAACTAATCAATCAGTATCAAAATATCTTTCATGGATTTTAAAGTTTAAAAATGCATGTATTGCATAGAGAAGAGGCAACTGGAAAATGGATTTCTGCCCTTTATCTCTATATCCCACCTCTATTGTATACAATAGTTGAGGTGAAGATAGCTAGATGAATAATTTCTTTGAAAAAAGTTGTTGGGGTTCCATGGGATTTTTTCAATCATTGTTTCAAAGTAGGCCTCATATATATTATATTAAGAAAATTATTCTAATATGTTGATATATGTTCCCTTGAACATGGAAGAAACAGAAACTAGTTGATCAACACCTGAAGATTCAGTAGAGTGAAAAGTATACCAAGAAACCAGTGTCATTAATGTAAGGGTCTATAAAGGGAGACAAATATCTTGTTGCATGTAATAGGAAAAAATAATAATTTTAATTATATTTTACCATATATGAACCCTAAAGACGATTGATCTGAGTCATTTTGGAAAGCAATCCATGGAGCAGTACTTCGAGGGGCATCACTAAGGTACCAGTGAAAGCACTTGACCTCTGATATCCATACATGCATGCACACATGAACATGTATACAAACACATAAAAAACTAGAATTAAAGTATTTCACCAGACACAGGGGTAGTTGCCATAGTTTCTTTTCCTGTTGCAGAGTTAAGAAACCCTGACAAAAGCAACTTAAGGGAGAAAGGGTCTATTCCTGCTCACAGCTACAGAGTACAGTCCATCATGACAGAGAACTCAACACTGCACGAACTTGAAGTAGTTGCTCTTAGAACATCCACAACCAGGAAGCTGAGAGGGATGAATAATTGTTGTCAGTTTACGTTTCCCAGTTTCTTCAGTCTAGGACCCAATGCAAGAAAAGGTACTATTAACAGTAGAGATCTTTACAGGTCAATTAATCAAGGTAATCCCCCACAGATCTCCCTGAGGTTAGTTTTTATCTGGAGACTGTCACAGGCATGCCCAGATGGAATCCTGCCTATTAGGTAATTTAAAATCCTGTCAAGGATTAACACCAACAATCATAACAGATTTAATTCCTCACAATACCACAAAAAATTACCAAAAAAACACCACAATTCAATATACTAGTAGTCAAGTGTCAATTCTGACAGTTTAGAACTTGTATGAAAACACACACACACAATATATATATATATATAATTCCAAAGGCTGGAGTATTTAAAAGACTAAAGTGACTAAGATTACAATTATGATTTTCAGTTAGACACATGTAATTTCAGTTATTTACAAATATCTGAAAAGCTCTAGTTAAGATTTCATCCAGATGTCATTGTTTTTTACTGCTGAGTAGTATTCCATTGTGTAAATTTGCCACATTTTCTTTGTCCATTCTTCAGATGAGGGGCATTTAGGTTGCATCCAGATTCTGACTATTACAAATAATGCTGCTATGAACATAGTTGAACAGATGTCCTTGTGGTATGAGTGTGCATCATTTGGATATATGCCTAAGAGTTGAATTACTGATTTCCAGGATGAACAAGTTCACAAGCAAATGGATGGAACCAAAAGAAACCATCCTGAGTGAAGTATCCCACACACAGAAAGACAAATATGGTATATACTCACTCATATATGGATATTAGACATAGGAGCAAATGATAACCATCCTACAATCCACACCTACAGAGAAGCTAGGAAACAAGGAGGACTCTGAGGGAGACATAAATGGACTCCCCCAGAAGGGGAAAGGGACAAGATCTGAGTAAATTGGGAGCATGGGTGGAGGGGAGAGGAAGGTGGGAAGAGAGAAGAGGAGGGGGAAGAGAATACAAGGTACTGGGTAGGTCTAGTTGTGGGGAGGACAAAGGAGGGCAAGGATAGAGATACCTTGATAGAGGGAGCCATTATGGGCTTAAGGAGAAACACAGCACTAGGGAAATTCCCAGGAATCTGAAAGGATGACCCCCAACTGTAGGGGAAGCTGTAGCCACGCCTTCTTAGGGGCTGGCTACAGGTGTGCCTGACCAGGCTTGTGAGGGCGTGGTCAGAGTGACGTGGTGGGACTGCGTTTTCGGTTTCGGTTTCTCTTTTGCTTCTTGCTGTAGAGGCTGCTGCCACAGGCTGGCTAGGTTGCTCTGTAAGTAAGGCTTTTCCCTATTAAATAACCTTATATTTCTACCTGACTCCGTATTGGTAATTTCCCACTATACCCAACTAAGAATATAAGCAATAGTAGAGAGACTACCTTAAATGCCCTTCCCCTATAATAAACTCCCTTAAATGCCACCCTAAAGCCTTCATCCAGTTGCTGATGGAATCAGAAGCAGAGATTCACAGCTAAACACTGAGCCAAAATCCTGGAATGCAGTGGTAGAGAGGGAGGAGTGATGAGCAAAGGAGTCAAGACCATGCTGGGGAAACCCACAGAAACAGCTGACCTGAGCAAGTAGGAGCTCATGAACCCCAGTCTGACAGCAGGGGAACCAGCATAGGACCAAACCAGGACCCTTGAATTGGGTGTAAGTTGGGGAACCAGGGCAGTCTATGGAGCCTCTGGCAGTGGAACCAGTATTTATCCCTAGTGCATGAATGGGCTTTGGGAGCCCATTTCCTATGGAGGTATACTCTCTCAGCCTAGATACATGGGGGAGGGCCTAGGTCCTGCCTCAAATGATGTGACAGATTTTGGTGATCCCCATGGGAGGCCTCACCCTCTCTGAGGAATGGAAGGAGTTTGGATGGGGAGATTGTGGGGATAGTGGGAGGGAAGGGGGGAGAGGTAAATGGGATTGGTATGTATTGATGATTACAAAGTGGAGTCAGAGATAGGTTAATAACTATTAGTTTATTAGGGGAAAATCTCATGCCAGGGAACCAATAACCAGTGTTGCACCTGAGCAACATGAACCCAGAAATGCTTCCCCTTCAGCTCAGCTAAGTGAGATAGCCGCGTGCTTGCCCTCCTCCTTCTTAAACCCTTCTTATGCAACTGTGAACATGCCCAAGCTGGCATGGTCAGCAATACCTACAATCAGGGTTTCTCCATACAATTCCCCTTTTAGTCTAAAGAGGATTTAAACCTGAGACAAACTAAATTGTGTGCAAAACATTTTAACATAAGTAAAAGCATACATCATCTTAAGTAGAGACAAGATTATACAGAGTAAGACAATGTGAGACAAATTATACATACAAGTAAATTAACATAAGTTACATCATACAAGGATCTATAACAGTGTAAGTTATCTATAATTAATAATCATAAAGCTGAATTACAAGAAGATATAATAATCTACTTATATCACATCCTAACTATATCTGTTGCATCTAAATTCTAATGTCATCTGAAAGAGATGTCCAAGCCTGAACACCTCCTTCCAAACCCAACCCTAAACAATAGGAAACTCCCTAACTAGGTGTACATTATCCTTAGTGTCAACAGTGGGGAAAGTGGGGCATAGTATTCTCTGAGTTACTTTCTGCTGAAATGGGACAACAATAGCCTCGTGGGGTCCTGTAGGAAGAAAATGTTTGAATAGTGAAAGTCTTCAGTGGATTATCTGCAACACATGTATCCAGTCCGTATTTGGTAGGAGATGCTTGATTGAAGTCCTTATCCAGATTGAAGGCCTCGTGTTAATTGAAGCTCTGGCCAGAGTTCAATTAGAATGTACCACCATCTCAGCTAGCTGTTTTGGAGTTGATGTAGTCCAAACCAAGTTTAGAGTGGGGATTGTTAGTTCAAATGAATCAAGTTGGATCCAGTGGACAAGATGAGGTGGGGCCCATTTTCTTTCCGGAGAGTTCAAGGAAGTTCTTTATTCGATGTGTGGAACTTAAGCTTTTCTTTTTCGACTTGAATCTTGATCAACTTTGATGGTAACCAAAGCTTTTCTTCTCCTGTGTAAACAAAGGCAAAACTCCTTTCCCAATGTAACACATGTCCTGGTTTCAAAACAGAGGTCAATACATCTTTGAAGTATACTGGCTGATTTAGTTCAGAAGTTTTTCTGTAGTCCAGTGTCTTTCTGAAGCTGTTTGTCCTTTCTCATTAGCACTAAGAAAGTTTAGTGTTAATAAAGCATTATGTAACCTATGTTTGGGGATTTTTGTGCCCCCTGCCTGTTTATGGAGCATTTCTTTCAATGTTTGATTAGATCTCTCTACTACTGCTTCTCCTGTGGGATTGTGTAGTATACCAGTTACGTGCTTTATGTTACAAATATTTGAGAAACTGTTCCAATTTGCTGGAGACATATGCTGGAGCATTGTCAGGTTTATTTGTGCAGGTATACCCATAACGGCCATCACCTCTAACAGATGTGTTATAACAGAATCGGCCTTTTCAGAGCTAAGAGTAATAGCCCATTGAAACCCTGAAAATGTGTGTATAGTATGATGCTCATATTTTAAATTTCCAAATTCTGGAAGGTGAAAGACATCCATCTTCCAGACCTCATTTCTTCAGATGCCCTTAGGATTACAGCCTGCTGGTTAGGGAGCTTGATTATAAAACAAACAGGTAGGAGAGTTTCTCACTATCTCCTTGGCTTGTTGCCAAGTGATGGAGAAGTCCTTTTTTCAAACCTTTGCTATTTGCATGGTGTTTCTTATGAAATTCTGAGGCTTCTAACACATTTCCTATTAATAAATGATGAATCTCATCATTGCTTTGTGTTAGTGGGCCTAGCAGACCCGTATGGGATCTGATATGTGTTTTATATATATAGGATTAATTCTGTTCCTGATTGTGTCTTGTAACTGTATAAACAGTGAAGTTAATTCTGTATTATCAGGAATGAATTCTGCAGTCTCAATGTGTAAAATTACTCTCTCTGCATATTGAGAATCAGTAACTATATTAAGAAGCTCTGTAAAATCCATAAGTACCATAAGAATTGCATATAATTCTGCCTTCTCTACAGAAGTATATGGATTTGAACTACTTTACTTACCTATCCTGATGTATATCCTGCCTTACCTGATTTGTTAGCATCAGTGTAGAAGATAAGAACTCCAGAAATAAGAGTTTGTCTTACATTATGTGGAAGGATGCAGATTGTTTTTTTATGAATTTAATTCTGTCAGTTTTGGGATAATTGTTGCTAATTGTTTCCAAAAGAGCTATCTGCCAGTATTCATTATCCTTCCTTAAGGAGGAAATATCCTCATTAGTTAAAGGTACTATAATTTCTGCTGGGTCCCTTCCTGTCAGTTTACGAAGTCTTAATTTGCCTTTTATAATCAAATCAGACATCTTTTCTATGTACATCTTTAGCTTTTTATTCTGTTTATGTGGCAGAAATATCCACTGTAATATCTTCCCTCTGCATCAGAATCCCTGAAGGGATTTGTAACAAGAATACAGTCTAAATTAGGGTCCACATGGTCTACATGTGTGTCCAGTATTCTGTTTTCCACCCATTGCAATTCATTTTCCGCTTCAGCTGATAATATTCTTGGAATGTTTAAGTCCTTATCCCCTTTAAGGGCCATTTTTAAATGTTGTAAGTCATGTCCTACTACTCCAATTATTGTCTGTAGTTAAGAAATTTCCCCTAGCAATTTCTGAAGGTCATTAAGAGTTTCATAATGATCTCTTCTATTTTGTACTTTTTGTGGCCTGACTTTTCGTAAGTCTATTTTATAACCTAAATAATTAATATAATCTCCTCTTTGTATCTTTTCTGGGGCAATCTGTAATCCCCAGAGAGGTAGAACTTCCTTTACTGTCTAAAACATCCATTTTAATGCTTTCTTCTTAGAATCTCACAACAGTATGTCATCCATATAATGATATATTATGGATTGTGGAAATTTCTTACAAATTATCTCCAAATGTTTTTGTTTAGAGTGCTGGGACAATGTAGGACCTTTTAACATTCCCTGTGGCAAAACCTTCCACTGAAATCTCTTAAATGGCTGTGAATTATTCTATGTAGTTACCATGAACACAAATTTTTCCCTATCCTTTTATTGTAACACTATAGTGAAGAAGCAATCTTTTAGATCAATGACAATGATCAGACATCCTTTAGGAATCAAGGAAGGCAAAGGCATTCCAGGCTGTAGAGAGCCCATAGGCTGAATTACTTTATTGATGGCTCTAAGATATGTGAGCATTCTCCATTTACTAGAATTCTTTTTGATAACAAATACAGGGGAAATCCAAGGAATGTTAGATTCTTCTATATGCCCAGCATGTAGTTGTTCATGAATTAGCTTTTCTAAAGCTTCTAGCTTCTCATAAGTCATAGGCCATTGTCCTACCCATTTAGGCTCATCTGTAAGCCATTTTATGGGTAGAGCTTTTGGTTCCTCTAAAGGTTTAGCATTTATACTTTGTTTATGTTCAGCTTGGATGGTTGGTATCTGTTTTCCATACTTACTATATTTTGTCCAGCATATAGAGATTGTATATGATTTGCATCTGATACTAAAGGAATGTTAATCTGGGTGTTCCATTGCTGTAAAAGGTCACATTCACTTCTTGTAGTGGTCATATCCGAGGCCAGGACTTTTGGGTTCTAATAGTCACATCTGCCCCAGTGTCCACCAAAACGGTAATAACTTTATTATTTATTCTTACTTTTAACTGGGGCCTCTGATCTTTTAAAGAAGTCCGCCAAAATATGTATTTTTTTGTCTTCTCCAAAATTGATTTGATTCCTCCTTACTAGCCAAACTACCATCTAGAGTGGTACCATTCTTTACAATAGGGAATGTACTATCTATTCGTCCTGTGAGAGATTGTTCTCCACAGTGACTGGGAATTACCCGACCTTTCTCGATGTGGAGGCCTTCAACAGGACTCCAAAGGAGTTTCCCAATTGTAATGAGTTTCCTTGTACGTCTCTGGTCGATCTACATTCATTGGTCCAGTGTCTGCCCTTAACACATCTCCTACATAATCCAGGAGGCAGAGGCCTTCTATATGAGACATTGTTGGAATTTCCTTGCCTACAATTCCTTCTAATATGTCCTATTCTGCCACAGTTAAAACATCTAGTATCCTGATTCCTTCTTGACCCTCTGGGGACTGTTTTTCCTACCAAAGTTCCTGTTTCATTACAGTTAGAGCATCTGGCCTCTTGGTGACTTTTTAGACCTTTGGGGTTTGCTTCTCCTTCCCAAGCTTCTGTGTCATCACCTTTAAGACATTTAGTCTCTTGATGTCTTTTTTAACCTTTTAAGATTGCCTCTTCTACCCAAGCTTCTGTATCTTGGACATTATACTTGAGAATCTGATTGACAGTCATCCAAGGCTTGTAGCCTGGCAACTGTTGTCTCCTTGAGAGATTGAACCTCGTGAATCATATAAAATTCTAAGGATTTAATAGAATCTTTAATTTTTCTTGATTCTTCATTTACATATGCTTCTAAACCTTTAAAATTCTCATCTTTATATAGTAGCTGAATGACATATAAATTGCCTTCTAAATATCCAATCCTAGACTCCAGCTTTTGGCCTGTGGCAGTAGATTCATCAGACATGGAGCAAATTATCTGTGCTGGTTTGGTAATCCTGTTCTGGTTCTTATCTACCTTTCCATTTAAGACATCAGACATGGAACAAATTTTGCTTTCTAATTTGCCATGAGTTTGTTCTACCGGTGTTAGTAATGTAGCATGGCCACATTTAGTATCTTCACCTTCTTTACATAAATGTTTCATGTCTTGCATTTCAGAGATCAAGTTTTCCTGGCTGGCTTTTATAACTTGCATCCAACTTTCTAAGCTGCCCATAATTCATACAGGTTCTTTGTCCTTTTCCCTGTGTCTAAGTCCTCTAGGTAGAGATATCACATGAGCTCTGAAGCTGACTAATAACATAATATATAGGCATGTTACCAGCAAGTCATAAGCCTCCTCTAATATAGAATTCACATAAGAAGCAAGAATATTCTCAATGGTCTGCATTGCCAGATTATCTGGCAGAGTAATAAACAGAGTAATAAACCTTAGTTGTTATTACCTGGTAAAATATAAGTCTTTTATTTTCTATGGTTTGATTTTAGGTCGCAGTAACTATGTTTGACCAGCAGACGGCACAGGTGGCCAGTTGTGGTGGCGCAGGTGTGTTTCTAAACAGAGTTGAGCTGCGGATGGCTAAGTTGTTCTCAAAACAATCTGAAAAATATCTGAATGACTTTTGGACTGAGTTAGAACAGATGGAAGTGATGAGGTATTGTCAAAAGGTAAGGGTTTTGGAAACCCACAGGGAAGTAGCCAGTTCCGGGCACTGAGGCAGTATCCGGCCACAAAAGTGGCCGCAGTGTCGGAACGGAAGAGGAGGGGCAGCCAGAAGAAGCTGTGTTCTGGGGGGCAGTCAGACCCAGAGAGGCGGTAGCAAGTTTCCTTGCTCCCTCTGGGAACCTCGGGTTGGGAGACTTGAGAAGAAAATGTTTGGCAGGGCCAATAAGGGATGAGAGAGCAGCAAGGGATGGGAACACAGGGCAGTCCCAGCGGGAGACCGACAGAGGAGCTCCAGTTGGGGAAAGGTCGGGCATGGGGGTGAAACCTCCTTCTGACACCAGATATTGAAGATTACAAAGTGGAGTCAGAAATAGGTTAATAACCAGTAGTTTATTAGGGGAAAATACTCAAGCAAAGGAACCAATGACCAGGTTTGCACCTGAGCAGGAAAGACCCAAAATGTTTCCTAGTCAACTTAGCCAAGCGAGAGAGCAGCATGCATGTCTCCCTACTTCTTCAACCCCTGTTATGTAACTGTGAACACGCCCAAGCTGGTGAGGTCAGCAATAACTATAATCATGGTTTCTCCCTACAGGATGTAAAATAAGAACTTTTTCTTGTTATTTAAATTACAAGCAATCTTATTTTACATATCAATCCCAGGTCTCTCTTCCTCCCATCCTCCCATAACCCCTAACAACCCCACATCCCATCCCATTTCTGCTCCACAGGGAGGGTGAGCCCTTCCCTGGGAGATCATCCAAGTCTGTCATATTACTTGGGGCAGTGCCTAGGCCCTGACTCATGCATCTAGCCTGAGAGAATATCCCTCTGTGGAGAATGGGCTCCCAAAGTCCATTCATACAGTAGGGATAAATACTGATCCACTACCAGAGGATCCATAGATTGTCCAGGCATCTTAACTGACACCTACATTCAGGGAACCTGGTTCGGTTCTATGCTGGTTTTCCAGCTATCAGTCTAGGGTCCATGAGTTCCCCTTTGCTCAGGTCAGCTGTTTCTGTGGGTTTCCCCAGCCTGGTCTTGGTCACTTTGTTCATCACTCCTCCCTCTCTACAACTGGATTCCAGGAGTTTGGCTCAGTGCTTAGCTGTGGGTATCTGCTTCTGTTTCCATCAGCAAATGGATGAAGGCTCTACCATGGCATATAAAGTAGTCATCAATCTCATTATAGGGGAAGGGCATTTAAGGTAGCCTCTCCACTATTGCTTAGATTCTTAGGTGGGGACATCCTTGTAGATTTCTGGACATTTGGCTACTGTCACATTTCCCTTTAAACCTATAATAGCTCCCTCTATTATGGTATCTCTTTTCTTGTTCTCCTCTATTCTTCCCCCAACTCAATCTTCCTGCTACCTTATGTCCTCCTCTTCCTCCTCTTCTCCCCATCTCTTTCTCCCAATTCCCTCTCTGATGGGGAATGTACTGTGTGTGTTTATCTTTTTGATTGTTAAATAAATTACTGTTTGGCCAATGAGACAGCAGTTAGACGGGACTAGGAGTCAAAGAGGATTCTGGGAAATGTAGTAGAGAAGTGCTGATCCAGGCAGGAAGTGACATAGCAAGGAGACTCATATTTAAGAGAAGGAGAAACAAAAAGGGCCCTTTTTCCCGTTGGCCTGCTCCAGTGGCACGATGTGATCCACCAACAAGGAGGGATGCCAATAAGGCATCCGATAAGATAAGTCTTATAAAATATATAGGTTTATGATAGTTAAGACTGAGCTAAGAGAGAAGAATCCTAGTCATTGGCCAAGCAGCTTTGAACCTAATACAAGTTTCTGTGTATTCATTTGGGCCTAACTCGGGCGGGCGGCTGGCATAAAGCTCACACGTGGCAGTGGGGCTCGGCGGCTTTTGGTGAAAAGATTTATCGTAACACCTCTCCCCTCCCCCCATGCTACTAATTAGCTCAGGAGATCTTGTCCCTTTCCCCTTCTCTGGGGGACCATGTATGTCTCTCTTAGCGTCCTCCTTGTTTCTTAGCTTCTCTGGAGGTGTGGGCTGTAGGCGGGAAATCCTTTACTTTATGTCTAATAGCCATATATGCATGAACACATACCATGTTTGTCTTTTTGTGATTGGGTTACCTCACTCAGGATGGTTTCTTCTAGTTCCAACCCTTTGCCTGCAAATCTCAAGATGTCATTGCCCCCCCCCCCCCCGCTGAGTAGTACTCCATTGTGTAAATGTACCACATTTTCTCTATCCATTCTTCAGTTGAGGGGTATACTTTGAATACCTGTACTCCACTAAATTTGAAAATTTAAAGGAAATGGACAATTTTTGGGATAGATATCACTTACTAAAATTAAATCAAGAACAGATAAGCAATTTAAATAGACCTATAACTCCTAATTAAATAGAAGCAGTTTTCAGAAGTCTCCCAACCAAAAAAAGCCCAGGGCTAGATGGTTTCAGTGCAAAATTCTACCAAAATGTCAAAGAGGTGCGAATACCAATACTCCTCAAAGTGTTCCACACAATAGAATCAGAAGAGACATTGCCAAACTCTTTTTATGAGGCTACAATTGCTATGGCACCCAAACCACACAAAGATTGTTTTTAATTTAAATTAAAAAATTAATTTTAAAAAAGTTTAATAGAAGGCCGGGCAGTGGTGGCATATGCCTTTAATCCCAGCACTCAGGAGGCAGATGCATGCATATCTCTGTGATTTGGAGACCAGCCTGGTCTACCATAGCTAGCCAGGACAGCCTCCAAAGCCCAGAGAAAGCCTGTCTCGAAAAACCAAAAAAACTAAAAAGTTAAAAAAAAAGATTTCATTCAGAGCCAAAGTAATAGGTAAGATATAGAATAGATTTCAAGGAACAGTAGAAGCTTATAATATGGTTACTTCAATGGATACTCTGTTATTTCCTATTTTTTATTTTTCTTTGTTTCAGATATTTTTCATAATAAATTACATTTTCCCTTTCATTGAAAATAGATTATTTTCTCATACAGTATGTCCTGATTACATTTCTTTTTCCTTCTCACCTTCATTCCCTCTGGATTCATTCCCTTTCTGTCTCTCATTAGATAATATTCTAATAATATTCTAAGAGATAATATCCAAATATGAGAAAATATGATATAATAAGATAAAACAAAAGCCATCACTTTTCTGCTCCCTAACTCAACTCCACAGATTTCATTTTCCCCTCCTCCCTCATGCTTATACTACATGTTCAGGCAGTGACTAGGAACAGACTTCATAGTTATATTTCAGAGTGAAACTTTTGTGAAAAAACACTTGAAAAAAATTACAAATTGTAGGAAAATCTCATTTTCCCAATGATAGTCAATTTCTTCGAGAAACAGCTGCTTGCAGAGTTAACCAGTGTTTTATCCTATCTTTCCTTTTGTTTGGAAACAGCTGAAGCCTGCCTTCCCACATCACCTGATGCATAAGCAAACTGGTTTTTGCAGCAACACTTGATCATAGTTAAAAAAAAAAAACCTCCTTTCTGGGATGTGGTGGCACATGCCTTTAGTCCCAGCACTCAAGAGGCAGAGGCAAGTGGATCTCTGTAAGTTTGAGACCAGCCTGATCTATAAGAGAGAGTTCCAGTATAGCCTCCAAAGCCACAGAGCAACCCTGTCTCATAAAAAACCCTCTTTACAGCAGTAGTAACTAGCATGAAATATTATCTCCCGGGAGTGGGTATTCATATAAAGTTTTAAAAAAGACTCTTATCTTTCTGTCTTCAATTCATGATGTTATAAAATGAAGAGTAGTTTTCTCTGTCCAATATAAAATGTGATACAATAAAAAGGAACAATTGTTCATTTACGTAAGTACTTGAACCTTATTCGATACCATAATAGAAAAATCAATTTAACTATTTCCTGCAAAGTAGAAATAGGCAACATGAGAGAAAAATCAACTTCTTTTGATTAATGTATGCTGATAAAAAGTTTAAATCAGATTGTAGATGGCTCTGCTATCTATAAAAAAATCTGAAGTTTACATCACACCATTAGCATAGACATTGAGATCTACAATTAATAAATGGAACCTCCTGAAACTGAGAAGTTTCTGTAAGGCAAAGGACACAGTCAGTAAGACAAAATGACACCCCACAGAATGGGAAAAGATCTTTACCAACTCCACATCTGACAGAGAGCTGATATCCAAAATATGCAATGAACTCAAGAAGCTAGCCACCAAAACACCAAACAATTAAATTAAAAAGTTGGGTGCAGAACTAAATAGAGAATTCTCAACAGAGGAGTCTAAAATGGCTAAAACACACTTAAGAAAGTGCTCAAATCCTTAGCCATCAGGGAAATGCAAATCAAAACATCTCTGAGATATCTTCTTACACCAGCCACAATGGCTAAAATAAAAAACACCAATGACAGTCTATGCTGGAGAGGATGTGGAGAATAAGGAACACACTTTCATTGCTGGTGGGAGTGCAAACTTGTAAGACCACTTTGGAAATCAGTATGGTGGTATCTCAGAAAAATGGGAATCAGTCTACCTCAAGATCCAGCAATTCCTGTCTTGGGCATGTACCCAAAGAATGCACGTTCATACAACAAGGATATATGTTCAACTATGTTCATAGCAGCATTGTTTGTAATAGCCAGAACCTGGAAGCAACCTAGATGCCCCTCAACTGAAGAATGGCTAGAGAAAATGTGGGACATTTACACAGTGGGAAAAACAACAACAATGGCATCTTGACATTCTCTGCCAAATAGATGGAACTAGAAGAAACCATCCTGAGTGAGGTAACCCAGTCACAAAAAGACAAACATGGTATGTACTCACTCATATATGGATTTTAGACATAAAGCAGAGGATTACCACTCTAACATCCTCATCACCAAAGGGACTAGGAAACAAGAAGGACTGTAAGAGAAGAATGCATGGACCCTGGAGAAGGGGAAGGGACAGGATCTCATGAGCTAATTGGGAGCGTGAGGATAGGGGAGAGGGAGCTGGGAGAATGAGCAGAGACGAGGAGGAGAGAGAAGGAAAGGAAGGATCAGGAAGGTTGAGTTGGGGGAAGAATAGAGGAGAGCAGGATGAAAGATACCATAACAGAGGGAGCCATTATAGGTTCAAGGAGAGATCTGGCACTAGGGAGATTTTCAGAGATCTACAAAGATGACCCCAACTAAGAATCTAAGCAATAGTAGAGAGGCTACCTTAAATGCCCTTCCCCTATAATGAGATTGATGACTACCTTATATGCCATTCTAGAGCCCTCATCCAGAGGCTGATGGAAGCAGAGGCAGACACCCATGGTGAAACAATGAACTGAACTCTGGAACCCAGTTGTAGAGAGGGAGGAGTGAAGAGCAAAGAGGTCGGGGCCAAGCTGGTGAAACCCACAAAAACAGCTGACCTGAACAAGGGGGAGCTCATGGACTCCAGACTGATGTCTGGGGTGCCAGCATGAGACTGATCAGACCCCTGAATGTGGATGTCAATGAGGAGGCCTCGGCACTCTATGTGGCCCCTGGTAGTGGATCATTATTTATCCCTGGCCTAAGAAGGGACTTTTGGAGCCCATCCCACATGGAGGGATGTTTTCTCAGTCTGGACATATGGGGGAGGGCCTAAGCCCTGCCCAGGATGACTTTGGGGAACCCCCATGGAGGGCCTTATCCTTCCTGGGGAGCAGAGGGGGATGAGGTGGGGGGGCTGGTGGTGGGTTGGGGGAGGGGAGGGAGAGAGAATAGGGATTGACATGTGAAGCAAGCTTGTTTCTAATTTGAACTAATAAAAATAATCTCTTGGGCAAAAAATCTTAGGGTTTACAGAGGAATTTATAAATAAATACTTCTTTTCATATAGCATTATGATTTGTGGGCAACTTTCTTTTGACTTAGATATTCTTTAACCAAGTTTATTTTCTTCTTACAGGTTGACAAAAAGTTTTTGCTTGTTTGAATCACTCAGATAAAATGTTATTTGCTATTGTTTATAGAGGGAAAGACTGAAGTGGAATATGTATGCTGTATGAATTTCTCTACATTTCCTTCTAATGGAATAATGCTAAGAAGCTTCCTATTTCCCATACAATTTCATGTTAACAAAAAATGCTTCTTGTTGCTAATGAAGGAAATTCCCATTTTTTCCACCATCATCAAATCCCGGACACTTCCTGAAGAGTAAGTTGAAGACTGAAACAACGAAGGAAAAAATCCTATGCTCAAGAGAAATGACACCTCTACTCCCGTTGGAAACTTTCTTTAGCTTCAAGGCTTACTAACTTTACAGGACCTCTTTGCCCTGTGAGTGAACAAGGGAACTTTTGTGCTGTTGCTTCTTTGACCAACCTGAAATCCTAAAACCTTTTCTTATGTACCAGGAGTCCAATAAATGAAGAATACCAGCTCTGAATCCATGGGTCTTCCCTGGACTGACTAGCCTTTTATTTTCCCCCTAAAATTGCAAATAGGCTATGAGTTTTTATGTTCCTTTTTTTACAAATAATTTATTGTGATGTAATTGATGTACAAAACTAGACATATTCAATGTGTACAATTTATTGTGTAAAAAGGAAACTCCTGTGACAAACACACCTAACATATATTCATAGGTTCCTTTTGTGTCTGTTTTCATTATTGTAGGTTTTGTGAATTTAATAACATTTAACATAACCAGTTTTGAACTGCACATAATACTTCATTGCTATATACAAGCATTGTTATATAGCAAATCTCAAGATCTCACTTATGGATTTAAACAAAGAGTTTGTAACTACTAAACAAAGGCCACATTTTTCCCATCTGGCAGTCCCTAGAAGTACACAGAAGTAGGAGCACATAGGATTTGTTTATGAGTGGATTATTTAACTTTGCATAATCTTCTCAAGGTTCATCAACTCATAAACAAGGGAAATTTCTTCATAAAACGAATTAACATACATTTCTATACCATCTTTTATTTATTAATTTTTTGATGAATATATATGATGGTATAGCTTGCCTATTATAAATAATGATGCAGTAGACATGGGAGTGCATGTATCTCTTAGAGATCTTGATTTCAGCTGATTTGAATATATAATGAAAATTGTATGATGTGTTACAAGAAAGCTCTATTTTTAAAATTTTCATAGCTCCATTTCTTTTCCATAGCTGTTGTACCCCTTTACATTCACCAACAACAGTGATCAAGAGTTTTACTCTCTGTCTCCTCATCCCACCCCATCCACTCCTCAGAGAGGGTGAGGCCTCCTATGGGAGATCATGAAATTTGTCACATCATTTGGGGCAAGACCAAGGCCCCCTTTCCCACTGTATCTAGGCTGAGCAAGGTATCCCTTACTGGTATGTGAAATAAGATTGTTTCAAAAATTAAAAAAAGAGCTTCACTCTGTCTATATCATTGGCAAGAGATTTTAAAATTTCTGTTTGATGTTTTGAGACAATATGTAGATATGTAGCGCTAGTTAGCCTAAAACCCACTAAGTAGACCAGGCTGGCCTACAATTCAGGATACTTTGTGAGTGCTAGATTACAGGTATGTGCCACCATGACCAATATTTGATTAATTTCTAATCTTTGTTTTGATATTACAGGAAGGCCTTATGTATTTTGGAAATTGGCCCCTTATTCAGATATGTGGCCCTCAGGTATATTCTCCTATTTCATAGGTGACTTTTTTCTGTTGCCTTGCTGTGCAAAAACTGTTTTTAAATTTTTTATGTAGCACCACTAACACAATGTTTTTGATGTCAGCACTTCACAAGCAACCATTACCAAAGCCAGTAACAAATAGGTTTCCCCCTGTTTACTTGTAGGTATTTTTCAATTTCAAGCTTTATTATCAAATTTTTCATCCATTTTCAGTTGATTTTCACAGATGTTTTTAAGGTAGGAATAATTTTTTTCATCCCCCCCTTTTTTTGTTTGTGGAGATACATGCAAGTTTTATGTGAATACAAGTCAACCTCATCCCAGTAAGAATAATTAATTGGCACCAAGAAAAAAAGCATCAGGGCTGTTGAGATGGCTTTGTGGGTAAAGATGCTTGCTGTCAAGCTTGACTATCTGAACTGGATTCTGGGACCACTCAGAGTAGAGAACTGATTCCTGTAAGTTGTACTATGATATCCACTCCCTTCTCCTAAGACATACATACACTAAAAATTAAATAAATGTTACATCATACCATTTTCACTATATATTCAAACCAGATGAAATCAAGATCTCTAAGAGATATGTGGATGTACTCCCATGTCTACTGGAACATTATTTATAATAGGCAAACTGTACCACCACACACATGTCCATCAAGAAGTTAATAAATACAGTATGATATAAAATGTGATGGTATGTTACTTAATAAAAATATTTTAAGAAAATATTCATCATTGCCAGAGAGAATACAGCGGGGCATTGACCCTGCTTCACTAATGGTAAGACTGCAAAAGTCCAGCCACTATAAAAATAAGTTTGAAGATTCTTCAAAAAGACAAAGAAAGGAAGGAAGGAAGAAGAAATGGAAGAAAGGAGAAAGAGAAAGAGGGGAAGGAATGAAGAAATAAATTCATATTACTTTTAGGAATATATGCAAAAGAATCAAACTCAACATGTTGTAGAGATTTCTGCACATCTATATTATGGCACTGTTCACAATAGCCCAATTATGGACTCTGTCTAGGTGTCCATCAGTTTATGAACTAATAAGAAAAATGTAGTATATGTAACAAAGGAGATTCACACAGACACAAAGAAGAATGAACTTGTCAGTAGCAATAAAATGCATGAAACTGGAAATTATCATGGTACATGACATAAATCAGAACCCAATGACAAGTATAACACATTTTTCTCTAATGTGTAGAAAATATTACAGAGGGAAAAGGACATAAGTTAGAAGGGTGACTACTAATTATTTGGAAGGGGCAGGACAATGTGGGAGTTGGGTATAAAAACGAATAATACAAAGGGTGAATATGATCAGTATACATTAGGTGAATGGTGACTGTATAGAAATGTCACAATGAAATCTCTTACTTTATATATTCAATATATGATACAACTGTGATCTTATAGAACACAACATATAGTGCAGGATGTGAGAAAAGCCCATCAAATACTTAGACACTCATACATACAAGCCATGTATAATTATGGGTGACTTTAACATTACTAGGAATTTTACAAGGCAAAAATTCTCAAACTGCCTTCTAAATATTAATATTTATTCCCATAGACAATTGTTACTCTCAGCTTTAATGAAAGAAGCCTCTCGTTGTAGTAACAAAGCAGTGAATGCAGAAACCCTTGGCTGCTCAAGGTGTTGAGGACTTGTATAATTTTCTTTGGAACTGCCCTGTGGAGAGGAGAGAAACAATCCTCTTGTCTTTAGATGAGGGTTGTCCTAGAGGACCATCAACAATCAAGACAATGGAACAATAATTCTCAACCCATTTTTTCCTTCAGGGGATATTAGACAGTCAAATTGACAGTCACAATTAACAGTAATAGGATTAACTCCCTGTCATCTGGACATGCAAACACCTCTCTTTAAAGACAATAATAATCATAACTTAAAGTAATATGACATAACTCCCCGGTGCATAACCGAAACAGTCACACTAATTCATTTCTGAAAAATCTCAACACTTGAGTCTCAGGGAAAGAAAACTCAGCTGTGAGATCCTGTAAAAGTTGTAAGGAAAGTTGCATATTTTCATAGTAAAAGGGCAGAATAAACACTGCATTACCTAAGGGAGCAAAGCAAGCATGTGATGTGACCAAGTGTCAGATAGTCAAAACAATGACTCACGTCTTACCACTATTTATTTTCTATGCTAGTCAGGCTTTTTAGTACTAACAGCTAAGATTAACAAGTCAGGTGAGGAAAGGTTTATTTTGGCTCACAGTTCTAGTGTTTTCAGTTCATCTCTGCAAAGAGGGTATGGTACAGCAGAACGGTTCACAACCTGGCGACTAGCAAGTTGAAAGAATACCTCCCATAGGAGGCTTTATCCTACTCCCCTTCTTATTTTCTCTATATCTCCAGCCTATGGTAAGGTGCTTCCTGCATTCAGGGTGGATGTTCTTTTCTATTTACTCCTTTGTGAAAACTAGGATGCACTTCAAGGTACACTTTACGAATCTACGAATTTCTTAATCCAATCAAGTTGAAAATCAAGAATAAAATCACATGAACAAAAAAGTATGCTAAGAAGGAAATAATAAACATAACAACTGAATTTTCTAGGTATAAAATATTAAAGGATCATAAACAAAAAACCTCCTCCAAACAGTAAATGATAATCCAAAGTTTCAGGAAACATCACACAAATACTAAAAATATCAGTGATTTCCTTATATTCTGAAAACAAGATAGTAGGTTTGATATTTAGAAAACAAGGACATTAATAGGAACAACAAAATTTGCAATATTTACAAATCCATGCCAGGGCTGGCATAGATGTGGGGAAATGGGGAATCCTTATACACTGTTGCTAGGAATGTAAAGTGGCAGTCACTATGGAAATCAGTGTAAAGTTTCCTCAAAAAGCTAGAAGTAGAACTACCATGTGAACAAGCTACACTACAACATGCCTGAGCATACACCCAAAAGACTGCATATCCTACCACAGATATACTTTCAGTTCCATGTTCATTGCTTCGTTATTCAAATGGGTAGAAAATGGAATGAGGTACTTATATGCACTGGGATTTTATTTGGCTATACATAAAATGTAATTTTGAAATCTACAGGTACATAGGTGAAACCAGAAAAGTTTTTGCTGACTGAGGCAATCCAGAAACTGACAGACAAATGCCACAGATATGCACTCTTCTCCACACTCTTCCCCCCACTCTCATTCTGGCTTGGATCTTGAACTGTATGTATTTAACTTGAAGTATCGTGGAAGGTAGTGAAGGAGAAAGGGACTATTGGAGTGGATGCCTTAAGAGTGAAAGTATAATAGAACATAGATAAAATGTAAGTCATGGGGGGAGGGATACTGTAAATGGGAAGGTCTAAGCAAAGAGTATAATGATGACAATGAAGATGATGGGCAGGGAGAGAGTTAACTATATAACAATGAATGTATGAAAAAGCCATATGAAAATCTATTATTGTGCAATCCAAATACATAAAAAGAGAGTGTAACAAGAAAAATAAAAGACCTAGAGACAGATATTGGGATTAAACATGAAGATCAGGGAAGCAAAGCAGCCAATCTACCAGAGAGCTCTTACCTTTAACAGGGCTGTGGTGTTCCTATTCTCAACATAGCTGGAGAATGAATGCCTCCTGTCCTCAGTGTGACTGGAGAATCTGTGTCTGATACTGACTACTGAAGACCCTGTTCCTATCTTTTATACCCTTCTCGTGCTTGGATTAAAGGCATGTGATCTCAGGTGCTG